GCCATCAACCTCTTAATCTTGTTCAAAATTAGTTTCATCTGATATCCACAGAGATTTTCCATCAACTTTCATACGGGACCTGACCCATTATATTAATGAACTTGGTCCCCTTCCAACGCCCCCTCTTTACAACGAAGCAAATGGTGGTGTTATAGAACGTGTAACCTATACAACTTGCCAAATTCATTAGTTTAGCGGGAAATCTCGGGTTAAGCTGGTAACAGCGCTCATAACGATGGACAGGGGGTGGACTGCAAGCGAAAAAAGGCAGAAAAACAATTGATACACTAGAGTAGGGGTTGGATGTGATGCGACGAGACCAAAGGCAAGCAGAGAAAACGCAAAACGTGAGGAAAACGCCCTAGGAGAGAGTACAGACTACCGTAAACGTTCGGGGGGAGCATTGATAAGACCCTAGCGCCTTCTTCGAACGGTGCCATTGTGAGCGGTGCATCGGCGGATTTGCAAACTCCGGTATTCTACCTACTAAGTGAATTGACTCCAGTGGCGTGATGTTGCTTTGAAAATTGACGAAATTACTGCGGCACAATCTAGTAGAAAAATTCAGCTTTGTTAGCCATAAATAGTTGTGGCGTGCCCGTAGAAAGAACTTGAGGCTTCCTTTTCGTGTATGAGTTCATCCATGAAAACATCTTTGACTTTGAGGAGTTCTACTTCGCACTTTGCCTTATAACAGTAGTAAAGTAGATAGGTAGAATTTGTAGGGTTGATGAGGTTTTTGGGCTGTCCCATGCGCTCTACTTCCTGATTTTGCAATCATAGAGGCACTGACGCTATTCAGCTCAGGAAATAACATGCGCTGCCGACCAATTCAGACAATCCTGGAAGAAAAATCGTTGGAATGAGAGAAAGGTTGGCTCAAACGTGGTACGGTTCGGGAATCGATCACCGAATCATACCTGGTAACAAGTAAGCCACATGATATGTCACCACTTTTGCTAGTCATAGTAGTAATCCAAAATGAAGCTTAAGCCGGGTTCATACCTCCAATCCCCGTTCCTACTGTGAAGTCCTTGCAGAACGATGTTCTCATGGCTTTTTCTGGAGCGCATAAGTACACGAATCTGGCATTGGACATGTACTGAGCATTCCAAGCGAAACCGTGCCTCAACCGCATCGCATGGCTGCATTGTCTTTACGTAAGATTGTAATTTCGGAACGTAGATCAAACTGTCTAGCTGCTCCATGCTTCCACCTTTCTTAAAAATGAAGTCATTATGCATAAAAGTTCCTCGTCCTGAGCAGCTTGACTGAGTGATATTCTTAGAACCAATCCACTGCAAAAGCTTTTGAAAGCAAGCACCGTTCCAACTGCCGATTCCCCCTTACCCCTCATTTTAATTGCTGCTCTTTCTATCAAACTTGCACGAGTTTAGTCGGCACTAGTCACATCCCTTTCCTTCATCCTATGTAGCATTGACTTCTTCCCGTTTTTCTTTCTAACGATAAGCACTCACTTGAGAATTGCCTCTAGTGTACAGGAAACGAATAGAGTTTCAGATTTTCCTTCATTGTCCTATCGAAATCCTTATGGAAAAAGGACCTAGTGCATTCCATCCATCTCACCATACATGAATTTAACACTTTGGAGCCCATGCAGCCCATATGTGGGCTGCAGTCTGTCAACCGTGTGGTACCCTACGACCCATATTTTGGAAACAAGCACTCAGTTTTTCTTTTGTTTCTTCTTCCCATTTCATGCAATAAGATTTCGTCTAGATCACTGAATAGGTTTTTGTTCTCAATTTGCTCAATAAGACTTAAAAAATCCACTGAAGTCCCAGGCGGCCGAGAAACGTAAAACATGCGCGGTCTCCAACGTGTTAAAGTAGCCAGAAGTTGAATCGGGTATATTCTGGGTCAGCAGATCTCCTCTTCTCATTGCCTCTTAATCATATGATTAGGGCTTGATGGAAACTTAAAATGAAATAGATCAAACTGTTATCATCTAGTCCCGCTTTAGATCAGACACGCATTCATACACTTATGGTATTCTCAACAAAGCTCGAATGCGTGGCGCATCCCAAACTTCTTGTTCAACCCATAGCTTCCACATGGCCTCATTCGGGTGCGGTGCTTGAATCAAGTGTCTTAGTTCAGATGGGCATAACATTTATTCAACCAATGAGAATCGGTAAATGGTAATGTGCTGGTAGAGCTGATCAGGTCGAAGTGAAATCGATGGGAAGTGACTCTGAAAAAGCGACAGGTAGCAATAATACCTAGATCTCTCCTCGCTTTGGCTACAGAACTTTTACGTTAGTGGTGAAATCAATGCCTGTACCTGATTACAAGCGTCCTCGTAACCTCGGCAGCCCACAACGAAAGCTGAGCGTCGTTTATAACTGTGTCCCTGCTTTCCAGCGACTCCGTCAAGTTCAGTACCGGCATCAAACCGTATGCAACTGGAATATTCAGGATTGTGTTGGCGTGGCTAATCTGTGGATACTTTCGGAAAATGTTTTATGTGTAAACTGATGACGGAACCAACCCGAGCGTGGAAGTGATATTGAGATCGATGCCAGATTTGTTCGAGAATATCCTGAAATCATTCATTTTATTGGATTTGGCATGTTGGAGCATATTCCATATGGCACTACGGAGGTAAGACTTTCCAGTATAAAACAAGTAGCAGGTGCGAAAGGGTAGGTAAGGAGGGAAGAGCCAGGAGTTTCCGTCGGAATTAAAATGAACCCCTTTTGCTTAGATAATTTGAAAATTGTAGTAACCAATGACATCGCAACACAACACGCATTTGGGAGCAGAATTCGGTCACGAGAGAATGGGGGACGGGGAGACGCAGACGTGATCAGTGAATTACTTGATAGTGGAAGCGGAGA